TTTTTAATAACTTTGTCTTACTACATACATCAAGGAGGTAAAATTGATTGTTTTTAATAACTTTGTCTTACAACATACATCAAGGAGGTAAAATTGATGTTTTTTTAATAACTTTGTCTTACAACATACATCAAGGAGGTAAAATTGAGGTGGTTTTTAATAACGTTGTCTTACAACATACATCAAGGAGGTAAAATTGAGGTGGTTTTTAATAACGTTGTCTTACTACATACATCAAGGCGGTAAAATTGATGTTTTTTTAATAACGTTGTCTGACTACATACATTGAGGAAGTGAAATTAAGGTGGTTTTTAATAACGTTGTCTTACAACATACATCAAGGAGGTGAAGTTGAGGTGGTTTTTAATAACGTTGTCTTACTACATACATTAAGGAGGTGAAATTGAGGTGGTTTTTTAACAACATTATCGCAGTACATCTATTAAAACGGTGACATGAGATCTAAATTATTTCCATGGTCGTCATCGTTACACTTGAACCGTCGGGGACCCTACTGACGAGCGATGCTCTTTCGTTTTGTTTTGTTTGTTTTCAACAAAATGGCGGACGCGGGAGCAAAATGGCGGACGCCGAACGACAAAACGAAGTTTAGAAAGAAATAAGAGATTTTTCTCGCGTAGCAAACACCTTTTCGCAGGAGACGGAGATGCTGTAAAGGTGTATCGCTAGAGGGCGTAGTAGGCGCGCAAACCAAAGTGATGTTGTTGCTGCACACCGCAAGGGGACGCTCTAGGTTGCCGCCCCGAGACATCTTGCACGTGAGCGACGCAACGGGAGCTGCGAGTGCGTGCCGCAAAAGTGAGCTGGAGTACTCGCCGCCGCGAGAGGGCGTTGCATGTGCCACAAACTAGGACAGGCTATACGTGTTAGCCACTAGGGAGCGCTGTGTGTGCACGCCGTGAGGTGGCGCGGGGCGTAACGTGATTAGGCACAGATGCTGGGTGCGCATTACATCACGCTCTCCCGCTGCGAGTCTGCTGCTGCTGCTGCTACTGCTGCAAGTCTGCTGCTGCTGCTGCTACTGCTGCTACTGCTACTGCTGCTACTGCTACTGCTGCCACTGCTACTGCTGCTACTGCTGCTGGTGCTGCTACTGCTGCTGCTGCTACTGCTGCTGCTGCTACTGCTACTGCTGCTACTGCTGCTGGTGCTGCTACTGCTGCTACTGCTGCTGCTGCTGCTGCTACTGCTGCTACTGCTGCTGCCACTGCTACTGCTGCTACTGCTGCTGGTGCTGCTACTGCTGCTGCTGCTACTGCTGCTGCTGCTACTGCTGCTGCTGCTACTGCTGCTGCTGCTAGGGCTGCTGCTGCTAGGGCTGCTGCTGCTACTGCTGCTGGTGCTGCTACTGCTGCTACTGCTGCTGCTGCTGCTACTGCTGCTGCTGCTGCTACTGCTGCTGCTGCTGCTACTGCTGCTGTACTGCTGCTGCTGCTGCTACTACTACTACTGCTGCTGCTGCTACTGCTGCTGCTACTGCTGCTGCTGCTGCTGCTACTACTGCTGCTGCTGATACTGCTGCTACTGCTGCTGCTGCTGATGCTGCTACTGCTGCTACTGCTACTGCTGCTACTGCTGTTACTGCTGCTGCTGCTACTGCTGCTGCTGATTCTACTGCTGCTGCTACTGCTGCTGCCAAATGTAATTATGGCTTCAGGTTCTGGCTCATCATTTCGCTCACCTATCAAATAACAAGGAGGAGGAGGAGCAGGAGGAGGAGGAAGAGGAGGAAGAATGGAAGAGGAAGGAAAGAGAAGGGAAAAGGGGTGAGAGAAGAGGCAAGAATGAGGAGGAGAAATGATGGCGGATAAAGGAAAGAGAAGGGAGGAGGAGAGAGGGAAGAGGCAAGGAGGAGGGGGAATGATGGCGGAATAAGGAAAGACAATGGAGGAGGGGAGAGGGAGGAGGCAAGGATGAGGAGGAGGAATGATGGAAGAGGAAGGAAAGAGAAGGGAGGAGGGGAGAGGGAGGAGGCAAGAAGGAGGAGGAAGGATGGAAGAATAAGGAAAGATAATGGAGGAATACAGAAAGTGAATGGAGGAGGGGAGAGGGAGGAGGCAAGGAGGAGGAGTAGGGAGGATGGAGGAGAAAGAAAAGAGATGGGAGGAGGGGAGAGGGAGGTGGCAAGGAGGAGGAGGAAGGATGGAGGAATAAGGAAAGAGAATGAAAGAGGGAAGAGGGAGGAGGCAAGGAAGAGGAG